GCCGCACTCAGCAATGTTCCAGCTATATGGCCGCGGTCTGTAAATAATCGAGTCTGGACCAGACAATCCAGTGATGAACAGCATGAGCATAGATCTACGCATTCCCACATAAAGTGAGTGAGTGAGTTTGATTTTACGCCGCTTTTAGCAATATTCCAGCAACATCACGGCGGGGGACACCAGAAATGGGCTTCACACATTGTACCCATGTGGGGAATCGAACCCGGGTCTTTGGCGTGACGAGACGAGCCAACGCTTTACCCACTAGGCTACCCCACCGCCCCAAAGCTAACAGTCCCTGGTGTTGGAACACTGTTCACAAGGGCCCTGTATCAATCTATCACAGTTACATAGTCAGATATCCAGGACTACCAGGGTTAGAATTAATCTTCAGCAAACCATGCTTGTCGTAAGAGGTGACTAAGGATTAGGTAGCCAGACTCCAAGATATGGCTGACACATGTCATCGTACCCCAATTGATTAAATCCATGCATCACTGGGCTGTCTTGTCCAGACTCTATCATTTACAGACCTCCATCATATAGATGGAATATTGCCTGTGATGCTAAGCAACAAACGATCAAAAGTGTCATCTTTTGTCGTTCACTATGAGATGAAATCTTCTGGTAGCAGCAATTACAGCGTCACATCTTTATGCTTGGAGGTTATAGTGAAGTGTTAGTTTAGCTCATCCTGTATCTCATCAGCGACTTGAATGTCAAAAGTGAGTGAGTGAGTTTAGTTTTACACCACACTCCAGCAATATTCCAGCTATATGGTGGCGGTCTGTAAATAATCGAGTCTGGACCAGACAATCCAGTGATCAACAGCAGAATGTCAAAAAGAAAACAAAGAAACTGGAACTAAGAACTGTGACTCTGGACTCTGGTAACTATGCAACAGCAATAACCTGGCCAAGTGTTCCATGTAGACACAAATATAAAGTGAGGTGAGGCAAAGACGTATATTCATATACGTCTTTGGGTGAGGTGAGTGAAATTGGGTTTTACGTAGTGCTTGAGAATATTTCGCTCATATGACGACGTGCATGCGTGTATGTGTATGTGCGGCTGCTTGTACTAGCCCTGACTTAAGCTGGTTTTATAGTGCTAGCCAACTGAGATACCATGCCGCAGTGAAGCATGAATACCCCACTCAGACACATTATACTGACTCCGAGCCGACCAGTCCTTGTTGTACCCATTAATGCAGAGCGCCAGACAAGGACCAACAAGTAACAAATATAAAGTAAACATATAACATGTGATATCATTTATTTTACAATCTGATGCATTATTACATCCTTTTAACAATCCAACAACATATGATCACCTGTCATACACTGCCATAACTTATTAAAGTAAATAGGTTTCTGAAAGGTATCAAATTCCATTAGAATATTGAAATATTAATACATTTTTTATCAAAATGTTAACAGAATTTATCTGGGTGTAATAATGTTTTCTGTTGTAAACACTGTACGAGTCACCTTCCTGGAGTGCATATACAGAATATATACTGTCAGATGATATTATACATGTAGAAGGATGGGCCATCTCAATTTTTCCACAACTGAATATCACATATGCACATATAACTTGTGACCTGAGATTCATTACAACAGGACTGAATTCATCTCTAATAAAAACTCACCACTGGCTGTCCTGAAAGAGTGAGTGAGTATGGACTTATGCTGCTTTGACCAATATTCCAACAATATTATGGGCACGCAAGAAATACGCTTCACACATTGTACACATGTGGGGAATCAAACCCGTGTCTTCAGTATGATGAGCGAACACTTCAACCTCTGGGCTACCCCACCACCCGTCCTGAAAGTTGTGGTCATTATTTTGCACAAAAACATCATGTGAAGCACTACCTGAAGCTAAAGTTGCATGTTATGAACTGGCCCTGGAATACCAAGGACAAGTTTATGTTACCTTTATAGGTAACATGGCAATGACCTTATCTACAGGTGCACTGATTACAGGTGTTTCTGATCAGCTAGGGCATTGTGATAATGTCCCTCCCTACAGTTGTCTGAGTAGTTCAATGTCCGAACTGTGGCACCATTTCCACAATATCTCACCAGAAGAGAAAAGGATGGTGCATTTTTTAAAACTGATTACCTTATTTCATGTTAGTTTATAAACAAACAGAAAACTACACAAAATGAGGACACAAAGGAAAGAGTGACACATGAATAACAAATGCCAATAACAAGGTAACATACCACAGCCTATCAAACAGTAGCATCATTCAACAGCATTACTCTATCTAGACACAGTGCTTCAAGTTACCAAATACCAGTTACATTAAACTGAAGATATGACTAAAATTATGAGTACATAAAGTAGCGTAAACTGTCCAGCATAAAAAAAAGATAAATATATTTAAAACAAAATGCAAATAGTAAGACTTGATTTTACTCACACAATAAAAAATACGAAAACAAAATTAAGTAAAACTGTCAAGAGGGTTGCAGGGGTCATTATCCTATCTGCTAGCATACAAGGACACAACCAGGGCACCATGGTTACTGAGGAGCCATGAATCCCTCTGTTGGCATACAAGGACACAACCAGGGCACCATGGTTACCAAGGAGCCAGGAATCCCTCTGTTGGCATACAAGGACACAACCAGGGCACCATGGTTACTGAGGAGCCATGAATCCTCTGTTGGCATACAAGGACACAACCAGGGCACCATGGTTACTGAGGAGCCATGAATCCCTCTGTTGGCATACAAGGACACAACCAGGGCACCATGGTTACCGAGGAGCCATGAATCCCTCTGTTGGCATACAAGGACACAACCAGGGCACCATGGTTACCGAGGAGCCATGAATCCCTCTGTTGGCATACAAGGACACAACCAGGGTATCATGGTTACCAAGGAGCCATGAATCCCTCTGTTGGCATACAAGGACATTTCCAGGGCACATGGTTACCGAGGAGCCATGGATCCCTCTGTTGGAATACAAGGACACAACCAGGGCACCATGGTTACTGAGGAGCCATGAATCCCTCTGTTGGCATACAAGGACACAACCAGGGCACCATGGTTACTGAGGAGCCATGAATCCCTCTGTGGGCATACAAGGACATAACTAGGGCACCATGGTTACCGAGGAGCCATGAATCCCTCTGTTGGCATACAAGGACACAACCAGGGCACCATGGTTACCGAGGAGCCATGAATCCCTCTGTTGGCATACAAGGACACAACCAGGGTACCATGGTTACCAAGGAGCCATGAATCCCTCTGTTGGCATACAAGGACACAACCAGGGCACCATGGTTACCGAGGAGCCATGGATCCCTCTGTTGGCATACAAGGACACAACCAGGGCACCATGGTTACTGAGGAGCCATGAATCCCTCTGTTGGCATACAAGGACACAACCAGGGCACATGGTTACCGAGGAGGCATGGATCCCTCTATTGGTGTACAAGGACACAACCAGGGTGCCATGGTTACCAAGGAGCCATGGAACCCTCTGTTGGCATACAAGGACACAACCAGGGTGCCATGGTTACCAAGGAGCCATTGATCACTCTGTTGGCATGCAAGAAATAAATAACAGCTGAGGGCATCTGCATACTAGCTATACGTTGCAGCCATTATGACAAATCAATCCCTATTAGACAATGACTGTCCTATGTAAACCGACCAAACCTATGTTTGACTATTTTCTGTACAACAAACTTAAAATATATAAGGCCCATGCTAAAATGCAGAAATCAAAGAACATTTTCAACAATGTAAAACATCACAGGATTTTAACATACAGAAACTTCTACAACTCACATTCAAAGGCTGGAAAACTACAGCAATAAATATTTCCAAATATAAACAGTAGAAACAATCCTGATAACAAAAACTGCATATAACAGTAAGCGTCAGCCATCATGGACAGGAATCTTATAGAACAGTTACACATGCAGGGTGAGAGGCACATCCACCTCATAATGAATGATGATGATAAAAATATAAAATATTTTACTGACATGATAGTAAAGCACTTCATAAATGACATATATGTGATCATGAAGCCTAGCCATACAACATGGCAGTTGCAGAAAGGACGAATCTTCTGTTACTCTATACTGTTCAATCAGCAGAAAATGGGTACCCGGTGGGATAAGTTATGTGACTATAACCTTCTAGTGCCTCACAGGTAGCTTGGGTTATCCAGGGTATTATGAACTGTCTGCGCAATGAGCTGTCGGCGTGGATAAAGCGCAATATAAATGGACTAATTATCATTATTATAACAAATGGGGACGAAATAACTGATAAATACTTCTCCATATTACTCATGCTGTACATAATATAATAATCATCCTTCTCATCGTTGGATAATAAAAACGTTATTTATACATATATTGCTGATGATATTGGTGAAAACTGATGTTCAATGTCTGGGACAGACTATTTGTCATGAGTGAGTGAGTGATTCATGTTGAACCCAGCATCATCTGTTTGTCACCAAACGTATTATCATCTTTCTTGTGGACGGTATATATACAATTTGTTATAACACTTTTTGACACGAATCGTCAAAAACATATCTTAACATCACTATGCACAGGCTTAACAGAACTGTAATGTTGTCAAGATAGCGTTTGGACGGAACACTGACAAATCATAAATACTGACTTCAACAAACTTCCGAATTCACAAACCATACCTGTGACTTTGTTAACCTTAAAATATTATTTCGGAGGGAATAAACATTTGCTTGCAATCCTCAGGAAAATATCCATCTGAACAGTTCTATAAGCGACACTACTCATACACTGGAGGGCAATCAGGTAAAAATTCTGCCATATTTACACAGGAGAACATACTGGCAAATTAAAGAGGTTCTGAATGACCTTGAGGTATGCATCCACAGTAATTTAATCTGGGGATGGGCCCCCTTTAGTGCTTGACATCAGCGCATAGCTACTAGCTTTGACAAACTACTGTGATTATTTTGTTACAATCTTCTTATTGGGACACAAAGCCAGACAATGTGAATCATCTCCAATTGAGTGAATGAGTGAGTATGGTTTTACGCCGCTTTTAGCAATATTCCAGCAATATCATGGCAGGGACGCCAGAAATAGACACAATGTACCCATGTGAACGATTGAACCCGAGTCTTCAGCAAGACGAGTGAACGCTTTAACGATTAGGCTACCCCACCGCAATATCTACAATAGAATACATCCAAGTGATTCCGAATCTCAACTGATAGTTTTATCCCTTGGTTTCTATTTCAATGACAGCATCTTCTGATAATACAAATTAAGCCTCTTGACTGGATAGATGCAACACCGAAAATAGACTTCATAACAGTCAGTAAACAAGAGCGAGTGAGTGAGTTTAGTTTTACGCCGCTTTTAGCAATATTCCAGCAATATCACAGCATGTGGTGAAAGCGGAGACTCCAGCAATGGAGTTGTCCACTGTGTCATTACAATAACAAGGGCTTGTTCCATGCATCTTTTCTCACACCGATGAATGTGCACCTGGTTATAAGACAGCATGTCCACTGTGTGTCCCTCCTAAACGGAACCCCCACCCCCGCACCCCCCGAAATGCATGACAGAACACCTAGTGGTCAGCGTCCAAACGGGATGGTCCTGTTCGCTGGGCTCCAGGCCGGCTTGTAGTCCTCCTCAGACCTCAGGGTAACCTGTAAGCTGGGCTCCAGGCCGACTTGTATCCTCGATTCTCTCTATCTCTCTTTTCCTGGTGAATGAATACATCCAACTGTCAGTGAACTTCATATCCATCGAAGTAAAACAAAAAGTCTCCAGCATTGTTTCAGAAGAGTATATTGTTAAAACATGGCTACTGACATAATCAACGTAGTTTGACAAGAATGAGTGAGTGACTTTACTTTTACACCTCTTTTAGCAATATTCCAGCAATATCATGGCAAGGGACACCAGAAATGGGCTTCACACATTGTACCACCTTGGTCTTTAGCATAATGAGTGAACGCTTTAACCACTAGGCTACCCCACCACACGAAGTCAATTGCATCACTTTCGTGTCACTACAAAAATCTCATCACTTTAGTCTAATACTTTAAATCAGTACCTCATAAGATTTGGAACAATGTTCCAATGTCAGCATATTAGATCATATGATCCTTTAGTGGTAAATGTCCAATACCTGCATCATTTCAGCCTTTCCTCCCATAGAAAGATAAAAAGATATATAGATCATATGATAGTGGTAAATGTCCAATACCTGCATCATTTCAGCCTTTCCTCCCATAGAAAGATAAAATCATTGTGATATATCGCGAATACTGTTCAAAGCAGAATTAAACCTAACTCAATAACTCCTTATGATAATTGACTGACAACTAGGTCTGACCTTATTCCTGAGCCATTCCTGGTATCGGTCCATGGCCTCTTCATCATGCGAGTTATCTTATCATATTCCTCGTCTTTAGCTTGATTCTTCTTCTTGATTTTCTCTTCTTTGGCTTTCTTCACCAGAACGACATCTTTCTTGGCTTTCCTACAAATCAATATCATCATAAAATAAACTATAAATAAGCTAGCAAAAACAGCACACCAGTAACAGAAACAACAGGAAAATGACGTTTGTCCAATTACTGGGTATAAGATGCATGAAACAACCAACTGGTTGTCCTGAATCAGAGTGAAAACTTAACTGCCCCTATTACAGTGTGTGATTTAATAATGATAGTGTCATCAGCAGTATTTCAACCACATCATGTCTTAACTGCACTGAATATTTTTGTCTTTACCATCCCCTGAAGGCTGTGTGTGAGGCCTGTCTTTTCTTATCCTTCTCATCCCTCTCATCCTGCTTCTTCTCCTGTTCTTCTTCCTTCTTTTTCCTCGCCTTCTCCACAAGTACATTGTCTTTACTCTCTTTCCATGTCAGAAACAACTAAAATTACATCCAACATTAAATAAAATCACTGAACGGCAGTTAGAGATGACAACTTTTTTGTTATGACTGACTCACTGACTGAGTTTGGTTTTTACGCCGCTTTTAGCAATATTCCAGCAACATCACGGCGGGGGACACCAGAAATGGGCTTCACACATTGTGCCCATGTGGGGATTCGAACCCGGGTCTTCGGCGTGACGAGCCAACGCATTAACAATTAGGCTACCCCACCGCCCATTTTTGTTATGAGAACACAACTTTTCAAAGCATATTCTTTCTCCTTCATCAGGTGAATTAATTTTTTCACCTGATGAAGGGTCTACCAGGTATGGGCTTTCACCTGGGAAATCAAATCAGGGTCTTTGACCTGAAAACTTTAAGAACAAGCTACCCACCGCACCCAACATCATAAACCTGGCCCCTGTACAAACTCAATGGCAATAAACATACTAAGCTTTGACTGCTGCAGGGTTTGACATTAACCATGAATGTCAAAATGTCACATCAAAGGATTTAAGAGGGTCCCCAGTTACTATACCATTTGTTGAGGAACTAATTCAAACCCACAAAGGGTTTACAGCACTAAGATATTCCTAAGCGTATTACAATGATATAGTTGCAATAGCTTGCATCATAACACTACAGTGTCCGTGTGGATGTGGACCAATCATAGTCACCTTCAGCAATGTTCAGTCAATGTTGTGGTCCCTTACGAAATGTTGAGCAGAAGCGAACATTATGGATTCCAGGATCAAACTTAATTTCAGACATGGCTGGCGTAACATACTCAACAAATGAATCCATAAGTCTGACTAGAAAACTCAACAATGCTGTTATACCAAGCTGTTAAAGAGAGGAAAATGGTAGGACCATTTCTTTTCACACATACAGTCAATATCTTACTTTTTCAGCATCTGATCTTTTGCTTTCCTTTTCCTGTCGTTCCTTCTCTATTTTCATCTCCTCTTGCCTCTTCTGCCTGTGTTTATCTTTAAAGACGGTGTCTTTCTTCTTGTCCACCCAAGCCTGATAGGACAGCTTGGCCTCAGTTATCTTCTCCTCATTGGCCTGGCAAATATGACATGCTGGTTAAAACCTCATACAACAGTATATAATGACAGCCCAATAAAAACCCAATACAACAGCACATAATCACAGCCTGGTGAAAACCCAATACAACAGCACACGATGACAGTCTGGTGAAAACCCAATACAACAGTACATGATGACAGCCTGGTGAAAACCCAATACAACAGTACATGATGACAGCCTGGTGAAAAACATTACGATGACAATACAACAGTACATGATGACAGCCCCATGAAAACCCAATACAACAGTACATGATGACAGCCTGATGAAAACCCAATACAACAGTACATGATGACAGCCTGTTGAAAACCCAATACAACAGTATATAATGACAGCCCCATGAAAACCCAATACAACAACAGCACAGCCGATACAACAGTACTGGACAGCCTGGTGAAAACCCAATACAACAGTATATGATGACAGCCTGGTGAAAACCCATGTACATGAAACTGGTGAAAACAATACAACAGCACATGATGACAGCCTGGTGAAAACTACAATACAACAGTATATAATGACAGCCCCATGAAAACCCAATACAACAGCACACAATGACAGTCTGGTGAAAACCCAATACAACAGTATATAATGACAACCTGACAGGTGAAACCCAATACAACAGTAATACAGTACATGATGACAGCCTGGTGAAAACCCAATACAACAGTACATGATGTCAGCCTGTTGAAAACCCAATACAACAGTACATGATGACAGCCTGGTGAAAACTCAATACAACAGTATATAATGACAACCCCATGAAAACCCAATACAACAGCACATGATGACAGCCTGGTGAAAACCCAATACAACAGTACACGATGACAGTCTGGTGAAAACCCAATACAACAGTACATGATGACAGCCTGTTGAACAACACTGATGACAATACAACATACACAGTACATGATGACAGCCTGGTGAAAACCCAATACAACAGTACATGATGACAGCCTGTTGAAAACCCAATACAACAGTACATGATGACAGCCTGGTGAAAACCCAATACAACAGTACATGATGACAGCCTGGTGAAAACCCAATACAACAGCACATGATGACAGCCTGTTGAAAACCCAATACAACAGTACATGATGACAGCCTGTTGAAAACCCAATACAACAGCACATAATGACAGCCTGGTCTGGTGAAAACTCAATTCAACAGTACATGATGACAGCTAGGTGCAAATCCAATACAACAGCAGGCTGGATTTCCTGGTGAAAATCTCATTAAACAATATACCAAACACATTTGAGAGATTTAGATACCATTGACAACCACATGTAATACTGTCATAGTTAGGTCCTACCTTTTTCTTCTTTTCTTCCTCTTCCTTTTCTTTCTTCTTCTTCTCCGCTAGGGTTTTCTTTGCTGTTTCCATCCGTTCCTGGTACCACTGGTCATAGATAGCCTTCCTGATACTGGTTGTATCCTCAAAGTTCACTTCACTGATTGGAGTTGTCTCCCCTGGCATGGCTGGGTACCTTGGCTTGGGCTTGTGTTTGGTGTCTTTTCCTTCAGTCTTCTTCACCCTTTAAGACAAATTACATAATAATGATTAACCACAGTACCATAAACCCTATCCCTTGTCAGATGATGTAAAGTTTCGTGAACAGGATACACCATTACACATCTCCCTGACATTATTTTGAAGACTTCTTTTCATTTAATGGCTATTATCAAAATGGTGCTGAACATCTTGGTAAGATAAACTGACTGTCATGACACATCCCAAAGGATAACCCCCTGGCCATAAAATACAACAATTATTCAAAGGAAGCACATGTAGATCATAGAATTAAAACAAAGACTCACGTTTTCTTCCCCTTAGACTCGGGATCTATGAATGCCATACTCTTGTCCTGGGCCCCTGCCACCTTACTGATAGAGCTGTCCAGGGCCTTGTGGGTGGACGTTTGATTGCTGGACCTACAGCAACAGGAGTCAGTATCATAGACACACTAACAAGTCATTCCTGCATGTTGTAAAGTGAACAAGATCTTGGTCAGAATTGCTTTTCCGCAACCAATGTTTGTCTTGAGAGAGGCATTTAAGCCTTGACTTAAGTTCGCAGAGGAAAAAGTTAAACCAATGGGTTATTACTCAGACCCTCCCTAACACAAAATAACTGACTGACTGACTGAGTTTGGTTTTACGCCGCTTTTAGGAATATTCCAGCAACATCACGGCAGGGACACCAGAAATGGGCTTCACACATTGTACCCATGTGGGGATTCGAACCCGGGTCTTCGGCGTGACGAGCCAACGCTTTAACCATTAGGCTACCCCACCGTCCCCAAGAGAAAATAAGAATACAGGTATATGAGTATTTGCATTTGGTAACAGGCTGTGGTGTGCCAAATGAATTTAAAAAGATAAGGCGATAAAACAGAGTAAGTATGCTCTGTCTATTACAGAGAGATATCCATGTTACACCCAGTCCCAGTTCTCCAACACCATGTGCGGAATCGAAGGAGGTCTTCGGCAAGACGAGTGAAAGCTTTAACCACTTGGCTACCCCACCACCCCATATATCTATGTAAATGTAATGATGTTGTGCATTTGTTGGGGTGACATTGAACAATAACTCTCATTTAAGAACTATAGTTGAACCCTGTTCATATTATCTTACTTCTTTGTCCTGCCATTGACTCTCATTTAAGAACTATAGTTGAACCCTGTTCATATTATCTTACTTCTTTGTCCTGCCGCCTTCTTCCTCTCCTGCAGACCCTGTCCTTGACTTTGAACCTGGTTCTCTCTCCATCTCTTCACACACCGAGCTCTTGTCAGGGCTCATATCGCGTCTACCTCGGAAATCATTCGTTGAGCGCATCGGGGAGGGGAGCGACGGAAGTCCTGCATTATCTCGTTGCTGATTGAATCTCCAGAGCCTTCCTTTGACAGCCCTGGCTTGCTCTTCCTTCTCTGCCTGGGCTCAGGTTTAGGTATCGTGTCCTCCGTCAGGAAGTCTAGTAGGGACTTTTCTGGCTTCTTCTCTTCCACTTCCGGCTCTGTTGGAGTTTTACGTCCTGTGAATCTCTTTCCATCAGTCGGAGTCTTTCGTCCGGTTGGAGTCTTTCTACCATCAATTCTTGCCAGTCTCTCAGGTGTTTTCCTGCCCGATGCAGTTCTTTCCGGAGTCTTCCTGCCACTGACTCCACCTAGCCCTGTTGGAGTTTTACGACCGTCTCCGCTGCCTCGCCGAAATCGTGACTGCTTTTCGGGTTTTTCCTCAACTTCGTCTCGCACAGGATCTGGTCGGGTTTTCCCAAACAGGTCCATTGTTGGAGTTGTCCTCCCTCTTGGACCCTCAGCCTCCTGGCCTCTCCCCCGCGGCAGTGGGGCAGGTCGGTCAGACCGGGGAGATGTCTCAATGGACAGCTGTCTAGAACACATAATACAGGCACATAATTTACAGGCACCATGAACTTTATCCCAAAGCTGAGACTACATCATGAACTATTGCTGACTGACTGACTGAATAGCAAAAGGGGACACCAGAAATGAGACTAGGATCAGCGCTTTAACCATTAGGCTGAGTTTATTGTGTGTTTTACAAAACAGTAAAAATGTGGAACTGTTCTCACAGGTATATTTATCCTTTTGTGGTCCATTTACTTATGTGGTAAACATATTAAAGGTTTAATAACACTGATAATTGTTCTTTGATATGATATTGTTACAGCTGCTTGTGATTTTCCCATATGCTTCTTATTAAAATGTGCATTTCACTCAGGTGTTACAATACTACAAACAAACAATGGACTGCATTTAGAAATTATTTCTACAGTCAACAGTTATCCTAAACCATTTGGAATAAATAATGACATAGCCAGAAAAGTTAAATGCTATAAACAAGATATTTGTTGAAATCCCAGTTCTAACATCCACACTCACCTAGGAGACTTATCACTGCCAGTGCTGAGTTGGCGAGTAAGGCGTGGTTTAGGCCTCCCGTCTCCTCTGGGTGTAGTGGCAGTGGACCTTGGACCTCCTCGGGGGTGTTGTGCTCTCCGAGATTGGATCAAGCAAGGAGGAGGGAGTGTTTCGGCCTCGGGAGCCAGCTATAAAAAGAAATGTTATTAGTGATGATCATAACATAAGTTAATCTAGCTGAATATTGCCAACTCAAGATTTGCACCATGATACAAAGCAGGTCTGGTGCTGATTGCACAAATTGCTTCACATACCAGAATGTTGCCTAAATCAACAACAGATATTGTAAATTTACATAATTTTCCCACCATTACAAATTCACAAATCTGACAGATAAACATGATTATCGGGTTCATTTTTTCAAAGATAAACAATTTTCAAACAAAATTCAGCCCCAGACACAAAGCATGGAGACATATTTCTTCTCTAACAATTACTGCAAAAAACAGCAAATGTGACTGGGCCAGACACTACACATGCTACACCTGTATTGAAGGCTCGTTGCACCAAACAATACCCATTGGGGAGAACACCTGACCATGTTACCTGGACTGACTGACTGAGTTTGGTTTTACGCCGCTTTTAGCAATATTCCAGCAACATCACGGCGGGGGACACCAGAAATGGGCTTCACACATTGTGCCCATGTGGGGATTCGAACCCGGGTCTTCGGCGTGACGAGCCAACGCTTTAACCATTAGGCTACCCCACCGCCCCATGTTACCTGGAGAAGGAGTTCTGTTTCCTGATTCTCTCTCAGCTGGCTTCTGATATGATGGAGGAGTCCATTGCTTCTTGTTGAGACTGTCAGGAAGCCTAGTGTGATAACGAATGGAGAGAGGACTTGTTCATTGCTGTTTATTGTTGACACAAAACTAAGTTCAATAACAAACAGAAAACCCAGAAACAGAAAACATAGCATAATATTTTTTCAAGTAGATTGAGGAACATTATTGGGTTTAGGATCTTTTTAAGAATGTATTAGTTACACCATGGCATCATTGTTGCATCATGACCTGCAAAACTTTGTGCGTGTGGTTTTCTTTATTGTTTGTTGTTAAATTCACAGTATCACCAGTTTTGCAGATCATAAGCATGATAAGACACTGCCAGCAGATCCTGTCATATCCAAGGGACATTATTCTCCACAGCGAAACAGTGGTACTTGAACCAATTGGACACTCGTTCATCCTCTAAACTTACTGTAATAGTTCCTCTGCCCATCTAACAACTCAACATTAACTCTTATCAACATCATGAAACATCAGATTTGAGTCAGTACGCTATAAGCTCTGACAGCCTATGCATATACTGAAGAAATATTTGTATCATATAATGATAAAAATCATCACATGATCTGAAACCGATAAATATCATTGAAAAACCATACTGACATGGGACATAACTCTTACCCTCCTTGAGTAGGTGTCTTCCGACCAAAGATGATGTCTTCCTTTGTCAGACCATCATTTGTAGGTGTCTTCTTGCCAGTGGGAGTTTTCCTCCCCAGCAGCGAGTCTGTCCGTGGGGATGGTGTTTTCCCACCTTGCTGTTGCCAGCTTCTGCCACCTACGGTAGGGAGGTTTCTGTTGTCGAAACTCGCCACTTCTCTGTCGAGGTGATCATCTTGATTTCCCCGACCAAACATGCTATCAGCATCTCTGGGTCGTAGCGTTTCATCCAAATTTGGCATGGCATCCGATTGCCTGGGCGGCCTTCTTTTCGCTGAGCCAGGACGTTGACGAGAAGGAGACGTTGTCGAGAGGTTTTTAGTGTACTGTCGTATTAACTCTGTCATGAAAAGGCATGGTGTGAATATCTTCATATGGTTAGAACATATGCAATGTTTGTTACTTGTCTTATGTCAAGTCAGCAGTATTCCAGCTGTATCATGGCAACCTGTAAATACCCGTCTATGCCAGACATACTGGTGATAGATATCATGAGCAACCTCCTACATCAGGGTATGACCCAGGGTGTCACTATTCAAAACAACCGTAGCACTACGACTGCCATAAGTCTGTGTTAAGGTATGGGAGTTTTGATCATCTTAGCGCACCTATGTACACCTTAGATTTTGTACAAAGGCAGTCTGGTTAGAAAGTCAGACTACCAAACCCAAAGTTGCTTCTAATGAAAAGCATTAAAACTCTCAGAATATTCAGTGGCCTTATTTCTTTTATCGAATGAAAATACTCCTAGTCATCAAATAAACAAATGTTTTCCACTTCTTCTGGGTATATCTTGCCCTATCATAGCAGTGAGAGTGACAATTTCCGCTGCTTTTAGTTTTAGCAATATTCCAGCAATATCATGGTGGGGGACACCAGAAATGGACTTCACACATTGAACCCCTGTGGGGAATCAAACCAGAGTCTTAACCATTAGGCTACCCAACAGCCCCCTTGTCATTGTAAACATACCATCCTCTTCATCGCTCCCTTCACTGGTTGTGACATCAGCAGCAAGGCCCTTGCTTCGTCTTTGTTTCATTGTTGCATCCAGTTCCCTCTGAAACGTATTCTTGGCTTTAGGCTTCCTCTGTCGGAGTGGTGCATCAACTTCATCATAATCTTGGTGGTAATCCATCCTTAGATTTTACACTGTGACAAAGAAAGTCAAAATATATTCCATAATTACTCCAAATTTGGGTCAGGATGGATGATGACATACCGTCGCTTTTAACAGCTTAACATGGAGCACTTTGCTTGATATTAGTAGGGTTTCTCTTTGTGAACCTGTTGAATACTGTTGAACAGTTTGAAAGTGGAGTTCGGCTCAAGGCTGCATGTGTGGTTTGAAATAAACAACAATATACTTTGCTGGTACCTCATAATGTCCTGTTCAGTTGTATATATCAATATCCTTTTAACATTGAACAACTTTTGTGGCATGGCAACTTTGCATTAAGTGTCTGAAAAGGGTTTTAACCAACTCCTTGTTAAAGTTTGGGACCGCAAAAGTGGTCATCAAGAAGCCCTAGGGACCAGCAAAACATAAATAAATAATTGAAGACACTTTCACAGAGGCTATGCATACATGTTGTTTTGTATATCAATTCATATATGTCTCTAAGTTCATCATTGATAAAATATAGCATATTATTTTTAAGGTAAGCAGAAGATTTGGTAAAAATATTTTAAGCCATGTTATTATAAACATCATACTCAAAATGATTCTGTGATTTTGCAGACCGGACACCGGCACTGGCGTACGATGAGTATCAATCAGGATGTGGAGAACATTTTCACTTTACCCCATAATCACCACTCAATCGATCACAAACGAATGAATGTCCAGCTCATATAACATGTACAACCACTGCTAAATTAGAAATATAAGTGTACCAGAACATACAATCCATGCAATCAGTTTTATTCTAGGTTTGACACTCCAAGTTACCATATAAACATTTTAAAAGCAACTTATTGTTGTGACTGATTGTACCTTACTGAAATTTCAATTTCTCTAAAACCCTTTTACATCAGGTTACTGCAGATGAACCTGAATGTAGATTTCCTTATCTCAATCTACGGTATAAGTGGTAGAAAGAACAGTCGACTAGGGGTGTATGTCTTATGCATCTGTAAAATATCACCTCTAATAAGAAGAGTAAGATCTCATTTGCTATGTTACAGAATCTATAAATTCATGGGATTAACAGACACTAACGCCGAATTATATTTGTGTTTTGACGAAGTAACTAACGTTTTACTGTACAATGTCTGCGCACTGAGTACTTGCAGAAACAATTGGGACTGTGTTATCGAAAATTTCAAAATTTCCTCTTTAGCGCAGTCAAATATTCTTGTCAATGCTTGTCTTTGAACATTTAAATTCAAAATATAACAACTTGAGGAATGCACTGAGGCTATCTAAGGTGGTCTATAAAACGAAAAGGTACACAGATATCGCCTTACCCCTTTCTTGTACGACGCTTATGGGAACGACTATTTGTATCCGTTGTTGTTCTCTCAAATCGATGTCGATGAAAAATTGTCAGCCATGTTTACGCGTTACTGGGCAGTGATTTACCAAATTTGAACTTCAGATCGAAACGAAATAAAGAGACGAATTTCCATACGCCAAATATTGTCGGGTCGAAACAATCTATGTTTATATATATGTACAAAGATTAACACATGTGGTATTTATCTGAACATAAACAAACTATCATCAATGCAATCTTAAGAACAATATTTATTTCCTAACTAAATTCCGTGTCCAGTTTCTAGATTCACATAAGAGTTACCCCCCTTTAGAAACGACGGGCACCTGTTGAGAGGCCTCATGGGGGTTGGGGTTTTTTTCTGAATCGAGTAACACGAGACAAGATTTTTAAGTCGCCAAAATGTTAATTATACATTTCTGAATCATATATTGTGAAATTTGTTTTAGAATATTCTATTGTATATAAGTAACCTGAGGTTTGTGACCTTTGCAAAAACATCACTCTACATATACGACGGGTGTTGAGATATGTTATTGGTAAGTAAAAAACAGTACTGTAATGGGTATGACCAGTGATAATCTACAGCTCCCTGGTATGACATAACAGTGAAATCGGTGCGTTAGCATGAATAACACACACCAGATATCAATGAAACTGATAATTTACGAGAGGGAAACGTTATGGGAGTTAATCATTTATCATTAACTGTAGAATGCATATACTTCTCATCTATACACACATGATTTTTGTTATTTCTTTCACAATCACCCCAGTGAAATTTTCAAATAGTATTACCAAAGGAAACATCTACAATTTATGAGAAATGACCATTATTGACCCAACTTCAGTAACAGATCACACAATAGCTTATTTGTTGACATAAATTGAATTGATGAAACAGTTACAGTATATCAGCAAAAGGTGTATGTTATACACATAAAGCATTTGGTATTTCGGTTCACTAGCCCCCGGGAAGTAGACAGTAAGGTGGTAACTGCACGTGTGCTGTGTGTGTTAGCAAATATGTCTGGGACGCAAATCAAGACGGAGACTTCAGTTGGTTATCTCTATTTTACTTATATGAGTCTGATTGTAATTCACTTAAACATGCAATAAAAATGCAAATCAACTGTTGTGTTATAAATAGAAAACATTCTCTTGTGGTTCATTCCTGGCAACTGTAACATTTCTTTCTTCTAATTGAAGTCATGAACATCAAATCAAGACTTTTACAAGAAAACCAAAATTACCTCAGTAATTATACTTAAAGTTCCAATGTGTGATGTTAAGCTGAAAATGGCATAGTTCTCAAAACACCCACAATTGGAAGATGTGAGTTTCAATACCCATCAGCCATGGCAGATTAACTATGATCATGTGAAATAAATCAGGTCTCCATCAATTTCTTGTGTTGCATATCTTCATGTTAGAAGCTCTGAATAGATGAACCCCAATTGACTGGTTTCTGGTGGTGATGGCTCATACTTTCATGTTGTAAAGACATTTGGTACAATGTATCACTGCTACAATCTTATGTTGTGATATAAAGATATGTCTAAGGGAAGATTTGGTGAGTATTTCTTCACTGTGGTATGACTGGATACACCCATTGCACTGATGCCAAAACATTTGCTTAATATGCAGATTTAGAAGGAAGCCTGAGTTCCAATTCACAGCCCAAGAGAGTCCACAGAAATCTAAATTTCCTTCAGGTCGCATCAGATGACAAGCTTAAGTTGCTGGGGACCAATGTCAGTTTGGAATCCTCACAGACTGTTTTTAATTGTACATACTGAACAAAAAAGCTAGTGATCATGAACAGTTCTAGGGGTATTTTTTATTAATTGTTTGCTCAGTTTTCACTTCAAAAACAAAATCCCCCCCAAAAAATATTTGGGATCCCTACATGTGTTTTGTTATTCACAGATTCACACACTATCAATAAGTAGTTTGACAGCATGAAGTCTTATTTGCAATTGCAACAATAAAAGGTGGATGTACATTTCAGACTTCTTATTGCCAGTATGCAGCTCCTCACCATTTAATATCTGATCTACTTACAGGATTCGGTTTTTTCAGCTGATAAAAATAACAACCAATAAACATAAATCCAAAACCTTTTATTACAAATTGGTTCAGAAACACAATACCTGATTACATGACACTATATATATCTAAGAATATTTTAATATATTTTAAGGAAATCAGTCTTGTCAGTTCATGGATGTAGAGCTACAAAATAGGCTCAGTAGTCCACCTGATTAATGAACTTTTATTACACTCCAACCATATATCATACAAATATATTTAGAGTGTCAAAAGAAAAATACAGGATAATTGCAACTCTGTTAAGGATAACACTGTTGTATGCCAACAAAATAATTCAGAGTTGCCAGATTCATAACAATGTTTCTTAAACATCTATTCATTTTGTGACTATCATTTCCTTGAGTAAAACGAAGTATATCAAAATAAAAATTTATAAAGTATAGAACAGATAAATGCTAAATCCATAAAAAAATGTGCATGACTGATGAAGCTCACCTGGATATGAAAGCTACAGTTTGAGATGTAAACAAAGACATACAATTTACATCCACTATCAAAAATACTCATATATTTTCTGCATAAACACTGGACTATAAACTAATTTCCAATTCTGAACACAGCTATAGCAATGAATAGCTCTTTGAATATGGCATCCATATTGAATTTACTATGAGTACAAAGTGAATAATTCTGTATCTGAGTTGTAGTTTTACGCCGCTTTTAGCAATATTCCGGCAATATCACGGCGGGGGACACCAGAAATGGGCTTCACACATTGCACCCATGTGGGAATCGAACCCGGGTCTTCAGCGTGACGAGCAAACACTTTAACCACTAGGCTACCACACCGCCCCAATTCTGTATCTAATTACAAGACAAGTTGAATATATTCTTGGCTACATTGCTGCCACATCACAGATCAAAGATCAGAGCTGAAATCATGTCTGAGAGGCATCATGAAAATGTTGACTACAGATCAATGTAGCAGATCTGAAAATAGTGAAAATACACAAAAAGTGTAGAGCAAACACAGTATGAGTAATAAGCACCCATTTGACTTGTACATGCACAAATATGATTTCCGCCCACAATGTATCATTTTCTGAAGGATCAGAATTTAGCAATTCAATAAAAATGACTCATTTGGCATCTGAAAAAAATATCTGTCATCTAATTTGTTTAAGTATCTGGAACAACTGGACTGAATACAGTATTAAAAATGACAAGAATAACTTTATGTTGCAACATTGGTGTATATGAAGAAAACAATATGTATCTAAATTCACATTTGAAAAGGGATAATTCCATGGGACCATGTATGGTCTATATATATGGTACCATGGTACAAACGGGGATGTGTGAGGAATATATATATGGTACTGAGGGGGTGTGAAATATGAGGGACTATACAGGTCCCATGATACTAAGGGGGTGTGAAATGTGCAGGACCATATATGTTCCCGTGGTACTAAGGGGGTTTGAAATGGCACTATGGGCAGGTATAGGGTGGGGAGGGGAGGAGCTGAAATGTGCAGGACCATATATGTTCCCGTGGCACTAAGTGTTGAGCAGTATTATGGTATTAGTATTATTAACCTGAGGTTTTTGCATGGTATATGTATTAAAACAATCTAACAACAATCTGTTTCACAAATGGTTCCAAATATTACACTAACATTTCTTTATTGAAAATAACACAGGAAGATTAAATGGCATGCCACCCGATTAGGAGAGTAAAACAATATGTGATCCTGATTATTCTACCCCAGTATTTGTCATGTTGACTAATTTCAAGTCTCTGAAATGAACATATTTCATAGAGAAAAAAATCTTAAATTATCTTAATGAAATGTAATAAAAATGAGTCCAGAGACCTCTATTTTCAGAAAATGCAGTAATCTAGACATGCATGGGCTGTTGCATACATTTGTTATAGGGTCTGTTTGGCAGACTATTCATCTAGCAGCCAATACTATGACTATACCTGACATTACATATAAGTAGTTTATATCTGGAATATATAGTTGCATTCTTTGGTAATTGGAACAAGGCAGGTCACACAGTGACAGCAGTGAGTACCTATTGCCACTGTCTGTGTTTTTTCCCTCACTGTAGCTGCTCAAAGGGTGAGTGTGTGACTAGGACCAGTATTTCAGTCAAATCATGACTTGTCAGCTTCATGTAGGAAGCCAAAATTGAGACAGATCATGGGGCTTACCCCTTTGGTGAAACCAAGGAACCAAGCTGACGAACCAAATATTAATCAGGTCCGGTCTGGGCTCGCGACGCATTGGAAGCAAGCGGCGCTCCGACAGTAAGCGCCGAACTGGGAGCAAGCGGCTTATAGGAGGCAAGTGGCACTCCGACAGTAAGCGCCAAACCGGGAGCAAGCGGCGCTCCATCATCACAGAATTCACACAACTAACGAACTGACCACTTGATCTTCTGGGAAAGGCATTGGAATTCATTGGAAAAAAATCTGCCCTGAAAATGCTTGAAAACTGCAACTACCAAAGAGAATATTTTTAAAAATAAAAAATAAGCTTCATGTTGATTAAAAAAAATGTATCTAGTCTTCATACAAAATCACACACCCAACCCTCTCCGAAGAATATCAAAGTGTCGGTTACATAGGGGGGACAACTCTGTAGCAGCAGACACTATCTGTGTTTTAGTATTAAGTCCACAGCCTGAGCTAAGTTGTCCACAACACCAGAGGGTTTCACTGTAGGGTGCTGCTCATCTGATGGTCTGAAACAAACAGGCCACAGATGAGGATTGAACCATCAGTTGCCAAAAACAGTACACTGACTGTGGTATTTATAGATGTAAGGCACAATGAGTGAGTGAGTATGGTTTTACACAGCTTCAAGCAATATTCCAGCAAAATCACAGCGTGGAACACCAGAAATGGGCTTCGCTCATTGTACCAATGTGGTGAAACGAACCCAGGTTTTCTGCATGATGAGCCAACGCTTTAACCACTAGGCTACCCAATCGCCCCAAGGTACAATGAGGACAGGGTTCTTATAATGTATTGATCTTGCTGTTAGTCTTCTCGTATTATAATTTCTGGATTTTCAAATTTTACTGAAAATGTTCTTACATTGAGCTGACAGGGTTTTCAAATATAACTGAAAATGTTCTCACATTATACTGGATGTGTTCTCACATAGTCCTCACAGGATTTTGTAATTGTACCTCACATTTTATTGATCGGGTTTTCAAAACATATAACATTTAAGCATTCACTCTTCACTCATCACCCTGAAGACTGGGTTCAGTTCTCCACATAGGGTTCTCACATTATGCTATCAGGGTTCTCACATTGTACTGTCGGGGTTCTCGCATTATGCTGTCAGGGTTCTCACATTGTACTGTCAGGGTTTTCACATTGTACTGTTGGGGTTCTCACATTACACTGTCAGGGTTCTCACATTGTACTGTCAGGGTTCTCACATTACTCTGTCAGGGTTCTCACATTACACTGTCAGGGTTCTCACATTATACTGTCAGGGTTCTCACATTGTACTGTCAGGGTTTTCACATTGTACTGTTGGGGTTCTCACATTACACTGTCAGGGTTCTCACATTGTACTGTCAGGGTTCTCACATTATACTGTCAGGGTTCTCACATTACACTGTCAGGGTTATACTGTCAGGGTTCTCACATTACACTGTCAGGGTTCTCACATTATACTGTCAGGGTTCTCACATTGTACTGTCAGGGTTTTCACATTGTACTGTCAGGGTTTTCACATTGTACTGTCAGGGTTCTCACATTATACTGTCGGGGTTCTCACATTACACTGTCAGGGTTCTCACATTATACTGTCAGGGTTCTCACATTACACTGTCAGGGTTCTCACATTACACTGTCAGGTAACTCACATTGTACTGTCAGGGTTCTCACATTATACTGTCGGGGTTCTCACATTACACTGTCAGGGTTCTCACATTACACTGTCAGGGTTTTCACATTGTACTGTCAGGGTTTTCACATTGTACTGTCAGGGTTCTCACATTATACTGTCAGGGTTCTCACATTGTACTGTCAGGGTTCTCACATTGTACTGTCAGGGTTCTCACATTACACTGTCAGGGTTCTCACATTACACTGTCAGGGTTCTCACATTACACTGTCAGGGTTCTCACATTATACTGTCAGGGTTCTCACATTGTACTGTCAGGGTTTTCACATTGTACTGTTGGGGTTCTCACATTACACTGTCAGGGTTCTCACATTGTACTGTCAGGGTTCTCACATTGTACTGTCAGGGTTCTCACATTGCACTGTCAGGGTTCTCACATTGTACTTTCAGGGTTCTCACATTGTACTGTCAGGGTTCTCATACTGTCAAGGTCACTACATTGAACTACGAAGGCTGTAAAGGGATGAGCGACAACATTCAGTGATCAGAAGCTGAAAACAGAATCATGGAAACCAAAGCTGGTACTTACCTGTATTTACCTGTGCGGACTAGTACACCTCTCATCCCACATGCCTGGGATCCACCAATGTCATTTACAACATCATCACCAACCATCACCACCTGTGAAACACCAGAGAACCGAGTTACACATATTGTGGTGTCATCCATATCTTCAGACAGCATATTTTCAGTTAGACACGTTTCCTATATACATGTATCTGTTCAGAAACTTTTTCTGGGTTAATCCTATATATCTCTTGCATGACGCTATTCGAGACACAACTATCTATGGTTACACTAACTCCTACTGTATGACTAAATTCAAAACTTGTTCTATCATCCACCTACAAACTTCAGCTGCGAAACAGAATGATGACGAACTGGTTTGTAGAACTGACTCTGATGACTGCAAGGACAGTGATTGAATGACTGTTACTGTTCATGTCATGAAATTTTATGAAGTAAGATGAGATGATCTTATCATACCAAGAATAATTCTGTTATAATCATAAATACTAGAACTCATAAATACCAGAATTATATATAATTTTATATGGAGCAGCAGGTGAACCTTTTGTTTGGTGCAAAAAGGTAATTATCAAACATTGCACAGGGTGCAAGCAGGTTTCATTTCCTTCATTTGAGCCCATTAACCAATTTCTTTTCTGGTGCAATAAGGTTATTACCAAACGTTGCACAGGGTGCAAGCAGGTTTCATTTGAGCCCATTAACCTATTTTTCTGGTTTTTTATCAACGTCAAAGCGTTGCACAGGGTGCAAGCAGGTTTCATTTCCTTTATTTGAGCCCATTAACCTATTTTTCTGGTCAATAAGGATTTTCAGGTTCAATAAGGTTATTATCAACATTGCACAGGGAGCAAGTAGATTTCATTTCCTTTAATTGAGCCCTGGTAATACTTATCACAGTCACCACAACTCCAAACCATACTACTGCATGACAATACAATGAGACACCAACCTTGTCAGAGGTCACACCCATGTCCTCCAAAGCAGCATTAAAGAAAGAAGGTGATGGCTTTCCCACAACTTCAGCCTCAATATCACATGCATACTGAAAACAGTAAAATAACAAATTGTCAAACAAGGAATGTCGTAAGAGGCGATTAACAGGATTGGGTGGTCAGGCTTGCTCACTTGGTTGACATGTCATCGTATACCAATTGCGTAGATCGATGCTCATGCTGTTGGTCACTGGATTGTCTGGTCCAGACTCGATTATTTACAGACCGCCACTGGAATAATGTTGACTCACTCTTTTCAAAGAAATGCATCAACTTCCATAAATGGTATTCACACAATTTAGAGCCATCTAAATTATATTTTGTCATTGTCAAACAAACACTCCTTTTGGGATGATTTGTCACCATCTGCTTTCAATTACAAACTGTGAATGTTCACTGTTATTTGCTACAGACTTTGAGGAAAACATCGACATCTGGGCATTCTTGGAAACTCATCTGCTATGTATTCCTAACAGAACACTCAGCCTACCTCTAATGCCTTCATGAAGGCCCCTAGGTCCAGGACAATCTCATTGTCCTCCTTGTAGTACTTCCTGAAAGGAAAATTGGTACAGTACACAACACAGTTTAGTCAATATTTCTACTTTCTAGAAAGTCAACAACCAGAAGAGGATGGGGTACAGGATATATATATTTAACAATCAATTTGAACATCATTCACAGAATAGAACAAAATATATGAATGGTATTACTGGCAGTATTCCTGCCACTGTTGTATCAAGGCAACATGTAACAAGATATGCTGACAGGGCACAAATTTAGGCAAAGACAAAACTGTGAGAACAGTTAGGGGAACCTTTTGTGGGATACACATGATCATGTGATACCATGGTTACTTGAGTCTATCCGTGATCAAGTGGTAACATGGTTACCCAAATCTACCCATGATCAAGTGATACCATGGTTACATATATATACCCGTAATCAAAAGTGAACAATTAACCTACCCCCTACCCATGGAGATGAGGACAGGTTCCTCCAGGGACATCAGCAACTTGAAGGCTTTATTCATGTTCTCATAGGTGAACTCGTCCACTGCATCTCCCATGACAACACAGTTTGGGTTACTTGTGTCGATGTCCGCAAAGTTTGCTCTTGCATCTGTGAAAATACAGGACATTGGCGTGAGTGAGTGAGTTTAGTTTTACACCGCTTTTAGAAATATTCCAGCAATATCATGGCAGGGGACACCAGAAATGGGCTTCACACATTGTAGCCATGTGGGGAATAGAACCCAGGTTTAACCTTGATACCAACCAGGTACATTGCAACAAAGATATTTGTTAAAAATTTTGAAATTTAAAAAAATAAGTTAAAGGCTGTGTACTCATTTCTGATAATGCCTTTCTACCTGTTCCTTAAAAGTATCCATCAGATTTTGTTTGTAGACATTGTTAGTATATCAATACCCCCAAAAGACTTGGGTTAGAGCCGTCTAAAGAGGCCAGTAACATGATCGAGTAGTCAGATGTGCTGCCTTGGTTGATGCATGTTATTACATCACAGCTGCATAGATCAATGTCAATCACTGGATTGTCTGTTCCTGACTGAATTTTTTACAGCAAACCATCATACAGATGCAGTATTGAGCAGTGTTTGCCATGACACAGAAAACTTGCGTATTTGACGCACAAATTATCTCAAATATGCAGTGAACTTAGAAGCTTGCGTTGTTGTTGCCGCAATGCAACTGGGCCCTTAGTTCTGATAATCTAAACTTCTGTGCAATGACTGCGATGACTTTTTTTACCGAGGATGTTTTGACCTGCCTTGCCTTGTTTTTTTGTCATTAATAAACAATCACAGCTGATGTCTTGAATTTTCCAAACTGAAGTTGACTCCCAAATACATGTCCATGACTCCCTCTCATGACATGATGACTCCTAAATTTTTATGCCTAGGGCAAACACTGACTGAGGAGTGCAACAACAAAACAACAAAACAATCTATCAGTTAATCACCATGAAGACTCACTCGGATGAAGGAGAAGAAAAGGGCGTAGATGGCGACGTTTCAAGATGCTGCAGACGGCAGGAGCTGGAGGAAACACATCAGCCTCAGTCAAGTTGAATCCATGAAACTGGAGCTTCTCCACAAGAGCTGACTTTGTGCTGGTGGTTTCATTTGTACAGAACCTTATAGGTAGTCCTGCCTGGCGCAGTCTGCATTATACAATCAAAGTTACAGAAAGTGCATTGTATTTGTTTTAGATGCATGGATCATGCTAGCTAATACAGAACCTTACAGGTAGTCATGCGTGGCATACTCTGCATTATACAAACAAGGTTACAGAAAGTACATCTTATTTATATTAGATGCATGGATCATGCTAGCTAATATAGAATCTTACAGGTAGTCATGCGTGGCGCAGTCTGCATTGTACAATCAAGGTTACAGAAAGTGAGTTGGCAGTCTGCATTAAAGCAATTACAATCACGGGGGACAAAGGTTACAGAAAGTTACATCTAAGTTGTTTGTCATTGATGCATAGACAGAAAGTACATGCTAGTTAATACTAGTCTACTACATTCAACATGTTATAAAATGTTGTTAAACAGTATCATAAAAGTCAGTAAAATTCATTAAAAATAGCTTTATTGTGTCAGTGGTGATAAGGATCTTGTTTGAAATGCTCCAATCATCTTATCTCTTTTGATGATTAACAGAGTTGACACTGTACATGTTTAAAATGAGACGAAGAAGTCTCCATCAGGCCTGTGATGATGGATACCGTGAAGATCCGGGTTACAATATTGATCTTCAGTAACCCATGCTTGTCGTAAGAGGCAACTAACGGGATCGGGTGGTCAGGCTCGCTGACTTGGTTGACACGTCATCGGTTCCCAATTGCGCAGATCGATGCTCATGCTGTTGATCACTGGATTGTCTGGTCCAGACTCGATTATTTACAGACCGCCGCCATACAGCTGGAATATTGCTGAGTGCGGCGTAAAACTACTCACTCACTCACTCTGACGATGGACAAACTGCAAAGTTTTACACAGAGCATTTGATAATGGGAGCCTTAACTAATCTTCAACATTTCAAATTTTGATTTCACTTGGATTTCTCAGACTACAAATATTGCTGACACTGACAGTACTACCAGTACTGCCAATATACTGGAAACAGCCAGGGTTTTATGTAAGATTAAAAGATAAGTGTCCTTGACAGACAAAAGAAAGATGAAAACAATTATTTTGATCAGGATTGGAATTTTCTTAAAGAGTCCTTATTTACATTTCATAACCTCAGGAGTACTTTTATAATTGATTCAAATAAAAAACGTAACACTGAACATGAAAGTCTCTTCTGTTAACTGGACATGTTGTCCATGAAATGCAAGTCACCTCTGCAAAGCCATTACATTAATTACTACAATATTTTATCCTGGCAATACTGTATCCCAATTAGATAATTACTCCTGACAATTGCTTCCAAATTGGGGTCTAATACTGGCCTCTGATGAGATCAAGATAAATCCCTGAAGGTACAACAATATTAACATAACCCTGATAATGGAAACATGATCTCACATAATCAAACATGACCTAGGCCAGGAGATGATGTGATTTGCGTCAGGGGTACTGGAAACGTGATAGCGGAACTGCTCGATATTTGAGTTGGTGTCCAGAGTCCATTCAGAGTAAACACTAAATCATGACCCTGGTTTGAAATAAACTGCTGACCTACAGTATACTTTGCAATATGTGTCAACAGCTAACCCTCGGCATAAACAGATGACAAAAAGTGGAGCCGAAAACAGGCATAATTGTTCACATTATGATACAGCCTCAGAAATATGCCTGATGTGTCACCTTGAGATAGCTTAGAAGGAAAATTACATCAGCACCAGAAATTCAAAATTGCATACAGTTTTACTTTCTAATGTCTAAATTTTACCTACAATGTAACTGCTATGCAGTATTTTACTGCTGTTCATGTGCATATTTATGCATGTTATCATGCAGAGTCCACTGAATAATGTTCCTATTTGATATGAAAACCCAACACTCCCGCCAAAATTCTATAAAACCACCTCAGTTTCATTTATACATCAATCAAAGATAGTCATTATGTTCACACTGTAAATGTATTGTCATAATGAGTGAGTGAGTGAGTTTAGTTTTACGCCGCACTCAGCAATATTTCAGCTATATGACGGCGGTCTGTAAATAATCAAGTCTAGACCAGACAATCTAGTGATCAACACCATGAGCATCGATCTATGAATTGGGAACCGATGACATGTGTCAACCAAGCCAGCGAGCCTGACCCCCATACCTGTTAGTCGCCTCTTACGACAAGCATGGGTTACTGAAGGCTCATTCTAACCCGGACCTTCGCGGGTTATTGTCATAATGTTCATATCTGTGCAAGTATTATATCACACAATTCTGTGGGTGTGATATAATCTGTATCCTGGCACGGTAGTTTTACTTCATAAGTTGATATTTTCAAAGTCAAACAAACCTTAATCATTTGTTCTTTAATTACATGGGTGCAAGAGGACATGGTACAATTGGATTAAATTCTCTTTTCATCTGGAACAGATACTTCTTCCTTATTCTGGAGGTAAAATAACCAGTTAATGTAATATTTATACAATTAACCATTACATAACACTCTGGTCAACAAAATGAATGTTGTTTGCCATGGTGATACCAGGTGGAAAACTGAAAGTATCTCTTGGCATTTTTAAAGCTGTCGTAAAGGATGAGTCTAGTTTTTAATTATTCTCACTGTTTTCCATAAAACTTAAGCTGTCATTTGGGGACAGGTACCCTACACTTCCCTCTCCATTTTGGTTTTCAGGGATTTATCTCGATCTGTTCAGAAGCAAATATTCAGCCCACCGTCAGCAGCAAATAACAGTAAAATTTCTCTCTTAAAACATTAAAAAATTTCCCAATTTGGAGATCAGAGAAGGGAAAGTATATATTTTTCATTTTGCTCTCTGGAGGCAGTTTATTTGAAACTTAGTTAAATCCCTTGCATGAGACTCTTATTATACGATCTCTGACATTCAACTTGACCTGAATTTACAGCCTAAATGTCAAACGGTAGCACTGGTTGTTAGGGATAATTCTGCTTAGATTGGGGAAGGATGACCAGCTTTTTAAGAGGCTGGTGATGTGTCATCTTTTCCAACACTGATGATGACTTGTTCATGTCGTACCATCCTGAATTTAAAAGGAGGTGAAATGATAGCAAGAACAACATGAAAGGTTAAAGTAATTACTTCACTATGATTATGAACACTGAAAAGAGCAGTGAGAAAATTCTTATGATTTTTATTCTGTATTTGGAGGCCATCTGGGAATGTGGCAGTCATCTTGGATTTCCTTGCAGCAAAGCTTTTACTCTATTTAAATACAGGAATATTGACGTAAGGTTTGATAGAAGGGCCTGGAGTCATCCCACAGAAGACATCTTTACCTTGTCAGCTTGCTCACAGGGTTAACCTCTTTGGTCATGTGTACAAGGTCCCTGGTTCGAATCCCAAATTCGAAATTCGGACATTTTATGGACACTACACTTATATCAACATTCGAACATTTCACCTAGATATACACTTTGCACCACAGGGGCTTGTAACGCTAAAAACTGCCATCAAGGCATATACTGTCACTGACGGGGTCTTAGTACTATATAAAAGCCTTTTATATGGATAGTACTAAGACCCCGTCAGTGACAGTATATGCCTTGATGGCAGTTTTTAGCGGTACAAGCCCCTGTGCTTTGCACCTTATCCATCCCGCTTATCCCATGCCATTGCACTGCACGTCCATGAATATAAAAAAAACACAGGCGACAAAGTGTTACCTATCCACAGCGTCAACGGATCCTGGAATTACGGAACCTCTACCAGGCCCGCTGTTGTATAGGACGCCAGTAATATCCAACAGCACTCCATCAACCGTCTGCTCGTACCAAGCCGCCATCATTGATATTTGGAATTACCTGCCCTTGTAGATTTAAAGAGGCCCTTTTGGGGGTGGTTTAATTTCCCCAAATTGCAGTTACTGACACAAATCTTTTTCGATGTATGCCTAATTCTAAAAAGGACATGAGCATTATAATAGAATGAGATAACCCTCAGAGGTGATATGAGCGTCACGTCGAGTTTAGAAATGTTCAAGCCAACACATCAAAGGTAAGTTTGCGAAGGTTCCAGTATCTGCTTACATGCAGAGTATTTGCTTGGGAGCTGATTTTGTTTAGTGCAGATCATGTTTAGATATCTTGATCTGCTTTTAGCATTTTTTTCATTTGACGTAATTGACACAGAGAAGATCCCTTTGATGGCCTAAGACAGTGGGACCTTAAAAGCCTAGACTTTTAGGTTCAAAAACCTTTTGCCCCTACCCACCTTTTTATTTTATCTCTACTATATGACATTATATATTTCATTTTCTCAGTTTTGCATTGAGGCTCTTAAAGTATTTGTTAGGGAAGCTGGTTAATAGAAATCTTAATTTACTTTGGTCCAGTTGAAATGTGTGCCATTTATGCCTAAATGAAAATACGCACTTGAGAATATATAGAAAATAGAACTGTAATAATATGACGATCAAAACAAAATGTTTCAAACCATGTTTAGAAGCACACGCAATTTACGGAAGATTACGGTTCAAGTATTGTTCGACGCAATGTAACAAATTAAAATCGTGTTAAAGTTGCGCGTGTAAAATGACGTAAGAGGTGATGAACAGATTAAACGAGTGTTCACGTTAGAACACGACCAACCCGGTACCGCTGTCCCAGACTGGGCAATCCCAATGAACAGAATTAAGATTGTATACGCTCTGAGAGTAGAGAGGGAGAGCAATTCCTGATTTTGTCATAAGAGTCAAAACTCACTGTCACCGTTTTGCATATATGTTTGCATAATCGTTTAAGTCTGCGTTTGCTATTTTAGCATCTTATTGTATAGGCGGATCCAGAGGGTGCGCACCCCCACCCCACCCTTTCGCCCCTGAAAGTTTATTAACCATTGAAACTCGGGTAAAAATGAAGTGTGCACCCCTCCTTTTCTCAGTCTCACTGACTCACACACACACACACGCACACGCACGCACGCACGCACGCACACACAAACACACCTCCTTTCTCAAAAAGCTTTATCCGCCCCTATATTGTGTTATGTTAAATTTACTGACATTAGCGGTTTTGAGTGCTGGTTTGTTATCTAAATCATTGCCTCATATATCACAGCTGTTATAATTATAGATTTGTCACTTGGATACTGCTGACAATTTTTACCGCGTGAATCGACCCTGAAACGCAATAAGCAAACTTGCAGGTCCTGGCATTCCCTCGTTCAGTCGGCTCCTACTTGAAGCATACGTGGAACATACTTTCTGAGTCTTCACTGGATCTGCAGAAAGTAGTGGATAGGTAACAAGATGAGAAGTGGTTTCAATGGTTACAATCTGTTACTGTTAGGTTGGTGGGGAGGGAAGGTAGCACAGTGGGGAGTGGGTTCGCTTGTTACGATCAGGCACTGCTTTCAGGATAGGGAGTTAGCTCAGTGGGTAGTGAGTTCGCTTGTTGCAATCAGTCACTGCTTTCAGGGTAGGGAGGTAGCACAGAGGGTAGTGGGTTCACTTGTTAGAATCAGTCATTGCTTTCAGGACGGGGATATAGCTCAGTGGGTAGTGAGTTCGCTTGTTACAATCAGTCACTGTTTTCAGGGTATGGGAAGGTAGCAGCACATGGGGTCTAGTGGGTTCGCTTGTTACAATCAGCCACTGCTTTCAGGGTAGGAAGGTAGCACAGTGGGTAGTGGGTTCGCTTGTTACAATCAACTGCTTTCAGGACAACCAAATAGCACAGTGGGTAGTGAGTTATTACTGGTTGCAATCAGTCACTGCTTTCAGGGTAGGGGATTTAGCACAGTGGGTAGTGGGTTCGCTTGTTACAAGTCAGTTACAATCAGTCACTGCTTTCAGGGTAGGGAGGTAGCACAGTGGGTAGTGGGTTCGCTTGTTACAATCAGTCACTGCTTTCAGGGTGGGGAGGTAGCACAGTGGGTAGTGGGTTCGCTTGTTACAATCAGCTTTCAGGGTAGGAGGTAGCTCAATGGCACAGTGGGTAGTGGGTTCGCTTGTTACAATCAGTCACTGCTTTCAGGGTAGGGAGGTAGCACAGTGGGTAGTGGGTTCGCTTGTTACAATCAGTCACTGCTTTCAGGGTAGGGAGGTAGCACAGTGGGTAGTGGGTTCGCTTGTTACAATCAGTCACTGCTTTCAGGGTAGGGAGGTAGCTCAGTGGGTAGTGGGTTCGCTTGTTACAATCAGTCACTGCTTTCAGGGTGGGGAGGTAGCACAGTGGGTAGTGGGTTCGCTTGTTACAATCAGTCACTGCTTTCAGGGTAGGGAGGTAGCACAGTGGGTAGTGAGTTCGCTTGTTACAATCAGTCACTGCTTTCAGGGTAGGGAGGTAGCACAGTGGGTAGTGGGTTCGCTTGTTACAATCAGTCACTGCTTTTCAGGGTAGGGAGGTAGCACAGTGGGTAGTGGGTTCGCTTGTTACAATCAGTCACTGCTTTCAGGGTAGGGAGGTAGCACAGTGGGTAGTGGGTTCGCTTGTTACAATCAGTCACTGCTTTCAGGGCGGGAGGTAGCACAGTGGGTAGTGGGTTCGCTTGTTACAATCAGTCACAGCTTTCAGGGTAGGGAGGTAGCACAGTGGGTAGTGAGTTCGCTTGTTACAATCAGTCACTGCTTTCAGGGTAGGGAGGTAGCACAGTGGGTAGTGAGTTCGCTTGTTACAATCAGTCACAGCTTTCAGGGTAGGAAGGTAGCACAGTGGGTAGTAAGTTCGCTTGATACAATCAGTCACTGTTTTTCGGGGAGGTAGCTCAGTGGGTAGTGGGTTTCGCTTGTTACAATCAGTCACTGCTTTCAGGGTAGGGAGGTAGCTCAGTGGGTAGTGGGTTGCTTGTTACAATCAGTCATTGCTTTTCAGGGTAGGGAGGTAGCACAGTGGGTAGCACAGGTTCGCAATTGTTACAATCAGTCACTGCTTTCAGGGTAGGAAGGTAGCACAGTGGGTAGTAAGTTCGCTTGATACAATCAGTCACTGTTTTCAGGGTAGGGAGGTAGCACAGTGGGTAGTTGGTTCAATGGTTACAATCAGTCATTGCTTTCAGGGCAATGAGGTGGCCCAAAGGAAACTAAGTTACTTTATGGCAGTTTGAAACTGATACCTGAGTTAGACATTAGCATTAGACATTAGATATGGAATTGTAGGTTCGAACCCAAGTAGAAACTCAACCCCAAAGTGCTGTAATTTGTACTTCAATACGAAAGTGTATAATGTAACTAGTGACCAGTGAGGAGTAAATCGCTAGTGCCGTAATCCAGCAACGTAACTAGTTTATTGTGTAGTTCCCCAACAATGTAACCAGTTTCTAGTGCCGTGACCCAACAATGTAACTAGTTTCTTGGGTAGTTCCTCAACTATATGAAGTAGTCTCTAGTGCAACTACCCAACAATGTAACCAGTTTCTAGTGCTGTGACCCAACAATGTAACTAGTTTCTTGGGTAGTTCCAACTATATGAAGTAGTCTCTAGTGCAACTACCCAACAATGTAACCAGTTTCTAGTGCCGTGACCCAACAATGTAACTAGTTTCTTTGTTTCAACTTGATGTAACTAGTTACCCGTAATGCACAATGTAACTAGTTCAACTAGTGCAGTTACCCAACAATTTATTTATTTGCTTATATTTCATTCATTTAAAAAGGATTTACCTCAAACATACTTACTTTGCATGTCTGACATACATGCCGTTTTCTGTAAACACAATTCCGATAGACATACATTTTAGTGCGATTCTCTAATTCATTACATTGAAAGGTTAAAGTTTGGCAGACATATTCGCAGGGCCATAAAGTTGCATTCATTGCATTGTGTATTCGAAATACACAACAGGCAATAAAAAGACACGGTTCTATATAACAATAACAGGTTGGCTTAATTACACTGTCTCCGTTTTACACAAGGCATGAATTGCTCCGTCTAGACGGTAGCTGGAAATAGACACCAGGCTGTAGGATTAGCCTCGCTGTAATCAAGAGCACCTCGTGGAAATAAAGACAGCATAATAGCAAAGACTGAGGCAATAAAACATGTTTGTGTATATTCCAACATACGACCCATGAATTTGTCTTCAGCGTCCCATGCTTGTCGTAAGAGGCGACTAACGGGATCTGGGTGCCGTTGTAGAAAGCGATCTTAGCGCTAAGGTGACCGTAACTCCCATACTTTAACATAGACTTAAGGTAGCCTAGGTTGTCAGGCTCGCTGACTTGGTTGACAAATGTCAGGTATCCCAATTGCGTAGATCGATGCTCACGATGTTGATCACTGGATTGTCTGGTACCGACTCGATTATTTACAGACGGCCGCCATATTGTTGGAATATTGCTGAGTGCGGCATTAAACACCATCCAACCATACGATAAGCATATATATGTTGCAAGCGCAAAATCAACAAAAGATTGAAGCTGTGTAAAATCCCCCACAGTAGGAGCACGCGAGTGTGAAATTCACGCATTCCATTTTTCACAACACGAGATTTGTTTGTGAACAGAACATACATATTCAAATAGACAGAGAGATTGTGCCCACAAACAGGTTTCACTGTTTCAGACATGCTGTATCACATGCTTCAAGCAATATATAATTATATTTTCAGTTTTAGTACATGCTTCTTTAAGAAAATTACTTTGTAATCTATTGCAAAATTTGCAAAGTGTGCAAATTCATTACATCAAAAGAATCTTTGATGTTATGTTTGACATTTGGAAAGACCGACCTGTGTATTTCACAGCCATTGCGTAGTCTGCAGACATTGTAATTAGACTCACTCCATCAAGTGGACGAAGATGAACCAAGCGCTACTGACTGTCATATCGTTTAGTTAGTTTGTTGTTTAACGCTGCGATCAGCAATATTCAAGCTATATGACGGTGGTCTGACAATACTCTTGACAACCCAGAGGTTGATGTCTCGAACCGACTATCATCTCTGCCACGTGGTTATTTGCATATGATTCATCTTGAATCGTTCTAAAATCTCCCAAGTCACAGTATATGCACACATCGTCATCATAGACTGCATTGCTATGTTTCTCCAGACTGAAACCTGACTCGAACATGGTCGCATCGGCTCCAGGGTGCTTGGGAAGCACAGTAGCCACGTGGCGGTGGGGTAGCTTTGTGGTTAAGGCATTGGCTCGTCACGCTGAAGACCTGGGTTCGATTCCCCACATGGGTACAATGTGTGAAACCCATTTCTGGCGTCCCCAGCCGTGATATTACTTGCATATTGCTAAAAGCGGCGTAAAACCATACTCACTCACTCACTCACAGTGGTCACGGTGAAGAATTACAGCCCATGGGCATGTAAGAAATATCTGATTGTCGGTTCGAATCCCGGTTCTCTCCGAATGTGTCAGCACCATTACAGTACATGTAGGTTTCGTCGTGACATCCACGTCTTTGACCTGTGTCATTGCGGAAATGCTTCCTTCGTGATATACTGAAACACTGTTTAAACACTGAAACACTGTTGGCGTTAAGTCAAACTCACTCACTCACTCAATCAGCTACATGTTCAGTGGTGGCTGAAAGGTTTTTAGTATAATCAAGTTAATTGTACAGTAATCCTTCCTAGTTTCGTTGGGGGCGGTGGGGTAGCCTAGTGGTTAAAGCGTTGGCTCGTCACGCCGAATACCCGGGTTCGAATCCCCACATGGGTACATTGTGTGAAGCCCATTTCTGGTGTCCCCCGCCGTGATGTTGCTGGAATATTGCTAAAAGCGGCGTAAAACCAAACTCACTCACTCACTCCTAGTTTCGTTATTTTCAGCTCATTACTCCTTTTGTCTTTGTGGGAGGTGGGGATGGGTGGCTCTGGGACAGCCAAGTGGTTACGGCGTTTGCTGGTCGCGCCGAAAATTCGGGTTCGATTTCCCACATGAAGCCGTACATATTCTCCACCGTGATATTGCTGGTATATTGCTAAAAGTTGCGCAAACCCTTACTCACTCACATTTCCTTGTTTGATGGCTGCATTTGAAGCAAATACACAATCAGACCGCATATTTTCTGACTACGTTTTCTCCAGGTGAAAATGGACCAATCTGGTCTGTGCTATCAACAGGTATCACCAACTGAAAGAGTTAATGCCATCCATTAGAGTTAGGGGTCAAATTTGGGGATGATGCTCCTGCTTGTGTCACTGTTGATCTGGGGGCGGTGGGGTAGCCTAGTGCTTAAAGCGTTGGCTCGTCTCGCCGAAGGCCCCGGGTTTGATTCTCCATATGGGTACAATGTATGAAGCCAATATCTGGTGTCCTCCTCCGTGATATTGCTGGCATTTTGTTACAAGCGGAGTAAAACCAAACTCACTCACTCACTGTTGATCTGTGAGCAGCAAGAGAGCGCCGCGAAGATGATCCAACATTATTATTATTATAACAGGATATTTATACAGCGCACATATCCAGGCAACTAGTGCATGCTCAAGGCGCTGGTATTTGTTCCCTCGATCACTGGATGTCAATCTCAACGTCACATCGTATTATCAATCTCAACTCCATGGGGAGTATACATACAACTCTTGCAGCCACTAGGTGCACCGAGTTATTGTGGCTTCTCATCCTAACGAGGTACCCATTCACAGCTGGGTGTACTGGGACACATAGTCACAGTACGTTGTCCAAGTTCACTGCACGTTGCTGTACCCGCAACTAGGTGTTTGCACGTATTCATGTGGCCGCCATCTGGTCATTTACCAACGGATTCGTGGGTTCTTTTAAGTGCACAGGATTTTGTACTGTACACTAGGGGTTGTGACAACACTGAAAGAGTCTGCACACAAAGTTGACTCCAAGGTTTTTACACCCTTTTTATAACATCAGGTAGACCTTCAACTACAGCCACTAAAATACACAATTAGATCATGGATGATCAACGACTAACGAAACATGACCTACAGAGTATGGGCAGAGATGCATTGAAAACATACTGAGAGTGACATAGGCGTCAGTACGCTGGCTTCCAGGATTTCCTGGTCAGAGGGGTTCAAGGTTCACCCTTTCGTGAGAGAATTCGCGTCGTTTTGAAGCAGACTCGGTTGGTTTTGTTTAGCGGTTTGTAACCATTGATGAGTCGGGGTTTCACCACTATCGCCCAGAGACTGAACCCCACTTACAGAGGCTAAACCCATTTAACACTCTGCAGAGATTAAACCCCCAAATTAGTCAGAGACTATTTTAAACCTCACGACTGAGACTACACCCCCAAATCGGCCAAAGACTAAACACCCAAATCGGTCAGAGACTAAACCCCCAAACTGGCCAGAGACTAAACCCCCAAATTGGTCAGAGACTAATTTAAACCTTACGACAGAGACTACACCCCCAAATTGGCCAAAGACTAAACCCGTAAATTGGTCAGAGACTATTTTAACCCCCCAAATCAGCCTGAGACTACACCCCCAAACTGGCCCGAGACTAACCCCCCAAATCGGCCAGAGACTATTTAAAAACCCCAAATCGGTCAGAGACTAACCCCCAAAATCGGCCAGAGACTAAACCCCTAAATTGGTCAGAGACTATTTTAAACCCCACGACAGAGACTAACCCCCAAAATCGGCCAGAGACTAAACCCTAGATCAGCCAGAGATTTTACGCCAGTTAACATAGTGGAAACAAGTTAGTCACGTCCAAAAAAAGACGTCAAGGTCTTTTCTATCAATGGCTTCAGTTTTCTGGGATTTCCCCCTAATGCTATACTAATGGACAACCCGTCGAATACATTCGTAATTTCTTTCTCTGCAGAGTTTTTCTGTGTTTTTTTTAAACCGAGTTCGTGGGGTATCGATTGCATTTTTTTCAGACATATCGATCATCACTTGATACATTAAGCTGTTAAAAATAAGAATTGCTTTCATTGACTGATAATCCGTTAAATGTTATTGTCACACTCTTCCTGTTAAGCAATCACCTATATAAACGCATCACACACATCACACAAATATACTGCTTTGTGTATATAAGTGAGGTCTCTGTATCCGCACCTGCCTATTATCGTACCCATTAAGTTTGGAAAATGTGGGTAATGAATCCCAAATGATATAATAACAGTCGATAGCTATTATTGCCCCATAACAAATTCACCTAATTAGTCTACCAGGACCTTTCCTAAACATCCTCGTCAGAACTGTCTGGAATATATCAGGGAAAATAGGGAAGGGAGGCAACTCTTTAAAGTACCGATCCCACGTGACTAATGTTTTGGTAACATGGCGGATACTGTTGGACGATTGTTGATGTCACATTAGCTATTCACGCATACGTCTCCTCTCGACGGTTTCACTGTGGTTTTCGTTTCTGAGGTAAGGCAGCATTTGCTATATTATATTGGATTTATGTTTATGTGCGAGAGAAATGTTAAGTTTCACGAATACAATGAGACGCCGGGATTAACGAGCTCGGCGAGCACTGATATTTAGGAAAGGGTGCCTGCACTTCGGCTAGCACCGGCATCATCCATTCGGCGCCGATCGTTGCACTTACAGAATTCTGGCGATGGTTGTGAAAGGAGGCAAGATTAATGTTAAAGGTTAGAAAAAATGTTGAAAGGGAAATCAAAGTCGTGTTGATTCATGTATAGCGATTTTGATTAGTTCAGGTGCCAATGCTTGTTTTGACAGCAACAGGAGCAAGTTAGAGGCTAGACTTGCCGAGGCTGCAGTAGCAAATCTCCAACCTAATTTAGAAATGTTTTATGTTCTGTAAGCTGAAGGCGTGTTGTCAGATATTAAATGGCAATGTTTAGTCGTAATTAGATGAGTTTGTGTGTCCATGTTGACATTCTAACAAAAATTGAACGTACACATGTCTTGTGATGCTAAAAATAAAAAACAAAACAAATATATTTATCATTAATTAAAAAAAAGGGTAAGAGTTCTTTACGTACCCTCCACCTAATTTTTTCAAACAATACAAAGATATACAAGTAATGAAAAGTACCTTATAAAATATGTGGGGGAGGGGGGGGACGTAAGGAACTCTTTCCAAAAAAAGTCAGATTATCAATGACATGTAAATACCATGCCAGACAAATAGAGGTTATCTATGTTGTGCTTGACTGTCTTACTGTTTCTTGTCCATGGAGAAGTAAAATACAATAGAAACTTTAATTAAGATTTGCTGTGCTTTGATTATTTCTGCAGCAAACATCATTCTCAGAGATGTATTTCATCATGGTCATGTTTAACCTTTTCTTTGTGTAAGAGAACAAGATATGAGTAGCTTTGATATATATTTGATGAAGTTTATAATGAAAAAAGGGCAGTATTAAATTATTTTTATCAGAACATTTTAAGTGGATATGAGGAAAGGCTATATATTTTCAACACAGTGCATGATTGAAATTCAGTTTGAAATGCCAAGGGAGCCTTGTAATTTTGGAGAGCCAACTTCAACGGCCCCCTTGTTCTCTGTTTATTTCCAACACTGACTGTGATTGATTATTGGCCATATAAATAAATACACTCAAACACTGTCCTACTTTTATGTGATGAACTTCTGCTTGTCTCAAGGTAAAGCTTGATCCCATTTTATGCATTTTTATTCATCACTTTTCAGTTGTGACGAAACCTTGGATAATTCGAAGTATTTATTTAGGTCCCTTCCACTTTGACACAACTGTGTTTGACTGCAAATACTCATGATATATGCATGCTTATTGTAACTTAAAATTATTTGTAACTTTACATGTCATTTATCAAGTGTCATTTCAATATGCTTCAATTTTCATTTCAAATGTTTCATCCATTAATGAAATTGATACATTGTTACATTTGTTACACTTATCTTTAAAATGAAGCTTTTAAGACATTCCATTTGTAACATGTCAAGAAATAAGATTTTGAATATTCAGATCAGGATGGGGGATAGTCACAGCCTGAAGGGGAGGTGGGGGAGCCTCGTGGTTAAAGCGTTCGCTCGTCACACAGAAGACCCGGGTTCGATTCCCTACATGGGTACAATATATGAAGCCCATTTCTTGTGTCCCCTGCCATGATATTGCTGGAATATTGCTAAAATCAGCGTAAAACCATTATTTAAATCAGTCACTCACTCCCAGCCCAAGACTAGTGAAAATTGAGTGTAATTAGTTGTTTTCTGTAAGGAACCTTCAGAGGTATTTCAGCATTGAAATTTTAATATTGCATTCAGTGCAAAAACATAAAAATCAACCATCAAAACCTCTTCTTGTTTATTGTTTCTGTTGTCAGTGAAATACAAGGAATTGATTGCTGGAATATTGCTAAAGTAAAAGTGGCGTAAAACCAAACTCACTCACTCCTACTTGTATGTAGCCAAGCCAAAACTGCAACATGAACTGGTTTCATTTCCAGGTTAAGGAATATTAACCCATCCATCATTTGGGTACAAGTGTAACTGTTTAATATTCTGATTTTTGCAAGGTACATTTATATATTCATAGAAACAAATAAGGGAACACATGAAAGTACAAGTGTTCCTTTATTTATTTCCAGAATTTCACTTACAGTGCAATACATACCTTGTGAAGAAACCTGGAAAAGAATAAAGGAACACTTTTACTTTCATGTGTTCCCTTATTTGTTTCCATGAGTATATATACTGTAATTTACCTGTTTTACAATGGAAGACCATGCCGACAATGACCCCTGCAGCTACAGTGGGTCACAAATTGTCTTATTTTGAGTTACCTACTCTATGGTTTGGAATGACCCAGTGGTGACATGGATGCCTTGTCAAGAAGGTTTATCATGACAAAGTATTGATCCACACCTAGTATGCCATGCCGGATGGGAGAGTGTGTTGTTCTGATTCTTGAATATTTTGTGTGCAGACACAGTCATCTGTGTTTGAAATTAGGATGGGTCTTTGAGATTTATACTATAGCTTTTAAAGGACCCTCTAAAGTTCAGTTTTCAACGTTAGAATTATGACCATGGATTTGATGCTTAATTTTGAACAAGAATGAATCTTGTATAATCTTGACACCAGTTGCACATTCAAAGTTGATTATCATGTTATGAGAAAGCTCTTTGGTAATAGACCCGTGAAGGTCCGGGTTAGAATATTGATCTTCAGTAACCCATGCTTGTCGTAAGAGGCAACTAACGGGATTGGGTGGTCATGCTCGCTGACTTGGTTGACACATGTCATCGGTTCCCAATTGGGCAGATCGATGCTCATGCTGTTGATTACTGGACTGTCTGGTCCAGATTCGATTATGTACAGACCGCCGCCATATGGCTGGAATATTGCTGAGTGCGGCGTAAAACTAAACTCACTCACTCACACACTTACTCACTTTGGTAATAATGTAGTATACTCAGTATTCAGACAGCTCAAGTAGGCATTCATGGTCAAAGAGTAAACAATAGCAAAATATTTTTCAAAGTGTCTGTCTGGAATTTGCGGGCATGGTAGCCTGCTGGTTAAAGTGTTCACTCGTCATGCCAAAGACCTGAATTTGATTCTTGACAATGCGGGAAGCCCATTATTGGTCTCCCTGCCTTGATATTGCTAAACAATATTGCTAAAAGCAGCATAAAACGTTACTTACTTTTTGGATTTTCCAAAAGTAGTCAAGTCTTTCCTGTGAGGACTATTCACTCATTTTTGGAATATTTAGAAACTCGTATTTCTAATATATATTTACAATAGTGACATCACACTGAAGTTATTTTAATGTTGAGAATGGTGCTAGAAATTGCAAAACAGCGTATATTTTTAGATCAAGTATGATTAGACCAACAGTATTGAGCATACATAAAATAATTGGTATTGGAGTTATGCAGTGATGCAAATGTAATTGTACACCTGAAACAATAATGGCTTCCACATGCGTGTGTGTGTTCAGACCAAACATGGGATCACCTAGCAGTGGGTTAATGGAAATTGTTCTTCCAGAATGATCATGCCATCACAGATCCTAGACAGACATGTGGGTCGCACATTGTTGTGAAGACACAGACATAATGGAGTAGACGGGAACCCAGTTAAGTCCTACGTCCTATGTTAGTGATACAGATAGGCCTCTGATTACGATGGTGGGAGCACATCTCCCATTAAGTATTGGTAATGATCCATCGTTATGGCTGCTGATGTCTGGCGTCCTTCATCCTTGCACTTTAGCTGTGATTGACATATTATGGACACAACATGGAAACAACATGCTTTCATGAATGATGTTTCATTGATTTATCATGCTTATTATCCTTTTTTTCTGTGTCGGAATTCGACGTCAAAGTTAAGGGATTCTTGACATAGCAATGCATTATCATTATAACCTCATCGGTTACCACCGCCTCCGTGGTGTAGTGGTTAGAGCGTCCGCCTGGAGAGTGGAAGGTTGCGGGTTCAATCCCCGACTGCATCAAGCCAAAAGACGTTAAAATATGGTACTTGTTGGTCCCTGCCTGACGCTCGGCATTAATGGGTACAAGGACTGGCCGGCTCGGAGTCAGTATAATGTGTCTGAGTGGGGTATTCATGCTTCACTGTGGCATGGTATCTCAGTGGGCTAGCACTATGAAACCAGCTTCAGTCTGGGCTAGTACAAGCAGCCGCACATACACATACACATGCATGCACGTCGTCATATGAGCGAAATATTCTCAAGCACGACGTAAAACCCAATTTCACCTCACCACACCTCACCTCATCGGTTACAATGATGTCACAATCAATTGACATCATTGATTTCTCTGTTTCTGAAATTGATAACTATATTGTTTACTCTCTAGAGACTGTTTATTATAGTGATAAAGTTTGAAAAATGAGGATTTAAAGATAGATACTGGTAATAGAGAGAATCTCATGTGTCTTCTGATATCTGATATATATATTAAAACTTGACTGATTTATTTATTTAATATCAAAAGACATGGGGGTGTAATTCTCTTCTTGGTTAAAAATACCAAGGTTATAACTTACTAAAAATTGAATGGGATCCTTATCGTAAAATGGTGATTTGAAAATTAATATCTAGTGGTTTCTAGATTAAAATATTATCAGTTGTGGCAGGAAACTTAGAAAAACCTGGGGTCCCTTGTTAATTTTCCACATTGCATTCTATCATGTTTAATACCTGTTGCTAGAAAATCAAACATTACAAAACCAGGGCAGCTAGATTCAACAAAAACCTGTAGAGCATCGTCATGTTAACATTTGCCAATAAATCAAGTGAAGACTAATTATGCCCCCTAGCTATCTAGAAAAGTAATCTGTGATTGTTATTGTTGCCATGGTAACAGTGTCCCACCCTCTCAATCTGAAGGTTATAAGTACTTATTATATTCTGTCCTCCATTGATTCTCCATGGTATTTC